GAGTGGCCACACCCTGGAGGGTGGCCACAACCTGGAGGGTGGCCGCACCCTGGAGGGTGGCCGCACCCCTGGAGGGTGGCCACAACCTGGAGAGTGGCCACACCCTGGAGGGTGGCAACACCCTGGAGGGTGGCCACACCCTGGAGGGTGGCCTCAACCTGGAGGGTGGCCACACCCTGGAGGGTGGCCTCAACCTGGAGGGTGGCCACACCCTGGAGGGTGGCCACACCCCTGGAGGGTGGCCACAACCTGGAGAGTGGCCACACCCTGGAGGGTGGCAACACCCTGGAGGGTGGCCACACCCTGGAGGGTGGTCGCACCCTGGAGGGTGGCCACACTATGAAGGCACCATGGCAACCCGTTCTTGCACTTGCTAATATTCAATATCTTGCTTATGAATAAGTGCATATATGACATACTAATTTATTGTGAATATTTTAGTTTACCTTGATAAGCTGAATAGAAAACCCCAACCTAACCTAACCTTCTTAGTATGTTAAGATATTACAATTAGTACTGAGCCTATACCTATATTGATATTACAGTTATATAAAAATAATAAAATAAAGTTGAAATATTAAAATAAATTATAAAGTAACTCAGGATATTTTCCAATTTTGTATAAAATCTCTATTGTTTAATAAAACAAAGAAAAAGTTAGTGCCTTGAAAAAAATATGTGGCTAGGAATGTCACAAATGTTCTTATCTATAAGCAAAATAGTGACTATAAGCAATAAGTCATATATGTGCTGTTTTGTGCGAGAATAGGTTGCGTTCATGTCTAAACTGACTTATCAAAGTTTGCAGATTCATCAGGTTGCGTGTCTGGACAAGTCACTCTCCCAAACACTCCACTGTTGTGGAGTGTCTTCACCAAGACTGTGTAACTGTTCCTTCAAACTTGCCACTAATGTCACAGTCACTGTTTAATAATTTTGTCTTGCAATGAGAATATTTATTAACTTACATCCTTGGAGTCTCGTGTATGCATGAGTAAGTTTCTCTGGAGCATGAGTGGACCAGTTTAAGTTTGTAGTGGTATGAGTATGATGATTTTTGTCATATAACATGCGAGTGATTCTTCATGTCCCCGATGTCAGACAAAGGTGCATGTTAATATTCTTGACTGTTGTGGTAGTCATTATTCTTCACTGTTGTGGTTGTCATTATTCTTGACTGTGGTGGTAGTCATTATTCTTGACTGTGGTGGTAGTCATTATTCTTGACTGTGGTGGTAGTCATTATTCTTGACTGTTTTGGTAGTCATTATTCTTCACTGTTGTGGTAGTCATTATTCTTCACTGTTGTGGTAGTCATTATTCTTCACTGTTGTGGTTGTCATTATTCTTGACTGTTGTGGTAGTCATTATTCTTCACTGTTGTGGTAGTCATTATTCTTCACTGTTGTGGTTGTCATTATTCTTGACTGTTGTGGTAGTCATTATTCTTCACTGTTGTGGTAGTCATTATTCTTCACTGTTGTGGTAGTCATTATTCTTCACTGTTGTGGTAGTCATTATTCTTCACTGTTGTGGTAGTCATTATTCTTCACTGTTGTGGTAGTCATTATTCTTCACTGTTGTGGTAGTCATTATTCTTCACTGTTGTGGTTGTCATTATTCTTGACTGTTTTGGTTGTCATTATTCTTCACTGTTGTGGTAGTCATTATTCTTCACTGTTGTGGTAGTCATTATTCTTCACTGTGGTGGTTGTCATTATTCTTGATATACACATATGTTTGTGCCTTGTATGTTATAATTCCGGCAACTTTTGTATCTGGCCAGTAAGCAATAACTTGTGTTATCTGGCTGTGTACAGTAAATAAATAACAGGCAACAATACTACAACAGGCAACATTATGGCAGCACTATGGCAACAACAGGCAACACCATGGCAACAGCAGACAACACCATGGCAACAGCAGGCAACACTATGGTAACAGCAGGCAACACTATGGCAACAGCAGGCAACACCATGGCAACAGCAGGCAACACCATGTGTTATACTGCGGCAACAACAGACAACACTATGGCAACAACAGGCAACACTATGGCAACAGCAGGCAACATTATGGCAACAACAGACAACACTATGGCAACAACAGACAACACTATGGCAACAACAGGCAACATTATGGTAACAGCAGGCAACACTATGGCAACAGCAGGCAACACCATGGCAACAGCAGGCAACACCATGGCAACAACAGACAACACTATGTCAACAACAGGCAACACCATGACAACAACAGACAACACTATGGCAACAGCAGGCAACACTATGTCAACAACAGGAAACACCATGTCAACAACAGACAACACTATGGAAACAGCAGGCAACACCATGACAACAACAGGCAACACCATGACAACAACAGACAACACTATGGCAACAGCAGGCAACACTATGTCAACAACAGGCAACACTATGGCAACAACAGGGAACACTATGGCAACAACAGGCAGCACCATGGCAACAACTGGCAACAGCATGGCAACAACAGACAACACTATGTCAACAACAGGCAACAGCATGGCAACAACAGACAACACTATGGCAACAACAGGCAACACCATGGCAACAACAGACAACACTATGGCAACAACAGGCAGCACCATGACAACTGGCAACAGCATGGCAACAACAGACAACACTATGTCAACAACAGGCAACACCATGGCCACAACTGGCAACACTATGTCAACAACAGGCAACACTATGGCAACAACAGGCAGCACCATGGCAACAACAGACAACACTATGGCAACAACAGGCAACACCATGGCAACAACAGACAACACTATGGCAACACTGTGTCAACAACAGGCAATATTATGGCAACAGCAGGCAACACTATGGCAACACTATGGTAACAACAGGCAACATTATGGCAACCAACATTAATGTTTCAACTAGACGTTCTTGCCTTATTAGTATATGAACCAGATAATGTGGATGATAAAGCTTTGATAATAAATACACGAGAATAAATAAATTGAAACACTGCCAGGAATTCGAACCCTGGTGCTGGGTACTGTCAAGCCGCTGGCATTACCTCTGAGCCACAAGGTAAAGGAGGTGGAGGTGGAGGGGATCCACTTGTAATGATCTGGGGCTCAGGTCATTGGCTCTCCCCTCTCCCCTCCTTCCTTCTCCCCTCTCCCCTCCTTTCCATCTCCCCTCCTTTCCTTCTCCCCTCCTTCCTTCTCCCCCTTCTTCCCTTTTCTCCCCTCCCCTTGCCCATCATTCTTCTCCTCCTCTCCCCCCTCCCCCCTGTCGCCCATGTGTCAAGGGCCAAGAGGTTGACCTGAGGGTGGTCTTGCAGCTGGCCCTCGTGACACCTTTGGCTTCTCCCACTCAACTTCCCACACTCAGTTTTCCCTCTCCATCCACCTCTCATTCCCTCTCTTCCCCTCTCACCGGTCCCTTTCCCATACCAGGCGAGTCAAATGTCCCTACTCTTTATCTTGGAGGAGACAGGCTTGAACATAATTTATCAGTGTGGAAAACATTGCTCGCAGGTGCACTGGGCTCCATAGAGGCGCCTTGTTCCCTTCTAATAGCTGGAGAGAGCTGACTCAATCTTCAAGAATTCATGTAACCTTTCACGGCAGATCATGGAAGGTGATTGGCGGTAGATAAGTGCCAAGTCCTTATTGGCCCTAGAGAGCCAGACCTCAGGCCTAGTGTAAATGGTTGGCCATTGCCAAATTAAGGGGGTATAGAACCCTGGGGCTGTATTAGATGGTGGGAGGAGCAATCCATTCCACCGGTAAGCTGGTAAAACAAAATTTCGGTAGTGTGTCTAGGGAGTGTGTTGGGAATAAGGGACGCAAGCCTGCATCCAAGGGGCTGAGGGCAGCCATCAACATCTTGGCCTCAGGGAGGTTTAAGGTATTGTGCAATTGATCTCATGTCCTCAGTAGATATCCATTGTGCCTCTAGGGGAATAGAATAGGGTATAGGTTCAAATTGTCTTAATTTACATGTTTCATAAAATAAATTGTACAACTTGTCCAATGGTATTCACTTAACTCCCCTTTGATATATCTCTCTACTTTGTCATTTTTATGTGTTGAATTGGAAACCCCCATCTTCTCCTACAGTTAATAGATACTAAAGTTGTCCTTGGGTTTAAATAAGTAAAATAAAGTAAACAAACTAATTCCCAAAATTTATTACTGAAGTACATAGTACCCGGGAGTCCAGATTACTGAGTCCTTGCCTTCCTGGGGGATCAGTGATAGACACATTCAGGTATGGTTGGTCGGGAAGGTGGTGGCAGTGTTTAATGAGATTTATTATTATTTTTATAAATTAATAACCCTTGTCTTTGATGTATCTTCCTCATTTAATATTCCTCCTATATTGGTGGCAGTGTAGTGAGGCGTAATACTGGACTGTAACAGTGTTAAGCTGGGGTACTGAGTGAAGAGAGAAAGAGAATTACAACAGGGATAGCGTTCAGAGTTATTACAAGAGTTCAAGGGTTATTACACACTGCTGGGGTGGTGATCCACTGCTGGGATGGAGGTGATCCACTGCTGGGGGGGGGGGGGAGGTGATCCACTGTTAGTGTGATGATCCACTGCTGGGGTGGAGGTGATCCACTGTTAGTGTGGTGATCCACTGCTGGGGTGGTGATCCACTGCTGGGATGGAGGTGATCCACTGTTAGTGTGATGATCCACTGCTGGGGTGGAGGTGATCCACTGTTAGTGTAATGATCCACTGCTGGGGTGGAGGTGATCCACTGTTAGTGTGATGATCCACTGCTGGGGTGGAGGTGATCCACTGTTAGTGTGGTGATCCACTGCTGGGGTGGAGGTGATCCACTGCTGGGGTGAAGGTGATCCACTGTTAGTGTGGTGATCCACTGCTGGGGTGGAGGTGATCCACTGTTAGTGTGATGATCCACTGCTGGGGTGGAGGTGATCCACTGTTAGTGTGGTGATCCACTGCTGGGGTGGTGATCCACTGCTGGGATGGAGGTGATCCACTAATAGTGTGATGATCCACTGCTGGGGTGGAGGTGATCCACTGTTAGTGTGGTGATCCACTGCTGGGGTGGAGGTGATCCACTGTTTGTGTGGTGATCCACTGCTGGGGTGGAGGTGATCCACTGCTGGGATGGAGGTGATCCACTGCTGGGGTGGAGGTGATCCACTGTTAGTGTGGTGATCCACTGCTGGGGTGGAAGTGATCCACTGTTAGTGTGGTGATCCACTGCTGGGGTGGAGGTGATCCACTGCTGGGAAGGAGGTGATCCACTGCTGGGGTGGAGGTGATCCACTGCTGGGGTGGAGGTGATCCACTGCTGGGAAGGTGGTGATCCACTGCTGGGATGGAGGTGATCCACTGCTGGGGTGGAGGTGATCCACTGCTGGGGTGGAGGTGATCCACTGCTGGGGTGGAGGTGATCCACTGTTAGTGTGGTGACCCACTGCTGGGGTGGAGGTGATCCACTGCTGGGGTGGAGGTGATCCACTGCTGGGGTGGAGGTGATCCACTGCTGGGATGGAGGTGATCCACTGCTGGGGTGGAGGTGATCCACTGCTGGGGTGGAGGTGATCCACTGCTGGGGTGGAGGTGATCCACTGCTGGGGTGGAGGTGATCCACTGCTGGGGTGGAGGTGATCCACTGCTGGGGTGGAGGTGATCCACTGTTAGTGTGGTGATCCACTGTTAGTGTGGTGACCCACTGCTGGGGTGGAGGTGATCCACTGCTGGGGTGGAGGTGATCCACTGCTGGGGTGGAGGTGATCCACTGCTGGGATGGAGGTGATCCACTGCTGGGGTGGAGGTGATTCACTGCTGGGGTGGAGGTGATCCACTGCTGGGGTGGAGGTGATCCACTGCTGGGATGGAGGTGATCCACTGCTGGGGTGGAGGTGATCCACTGCTGGGGTGGAGGTGATCCACTGTTAGTGTGGTGATTCACTGCTGGGGTGGAGGTGATCCACTGGACGTCTACTGACGGGTAGGTGTGTGTAAGTGAGGGGGTCCCCAGTGTCTCAGCAAGTGACTATTCACATGGCAGCTGAGAGCAGCACAGTTAAGCTACGCTTCTCTCAGCTCCCAATACCAACCCGTCCTCCCACTAGACAGTACGTTTGTTACGGCCACTGTGGGTCGCAACCGGGTTCTTTGATGGTAGAACCAATATGATAGGATCCGACCCCAAGTCGGTAGTACGCTTTCAATTAAGTGGCTATGTAGTGCATAAAAAAAGAGGGATGAACAAAACACTGTTCCTTTCGTCAATGTATTAAATATCTTTCCATCACCGTTAAGTATATATATGTACACCGTCACCATAAATAATATATAAAGAACAGATAGGCTATTACTACACCTATGTACAATCCTTTTGCTCAGGATATCAAATGTGTTCACGAGCAGAGTTCATCAGTCCCCAGTATGTCTTCACTGTCCAGTAGCGTATCCAACCTTACTGGGAAGAACACCGGCGAGTTCACCTGTACGTAACAACGTTTTAATACTAAATGTAATAACAACATTCCTGACTGTCTGCATAGTACATAAATACACTTAAGTGTACTGTTACATTTTCCTCCCCATTTATTGTCCTCATTTTCTGTTAGGACACTTAAAATTTTAAGGTTGAAGTTTTCGTGTTCAATTCTATAAACACAAGTTTTATATATATAAAGAATTTCCTTCTCAGTTTTATTAAACAATAGTTTTGTTGTATTAGTTTTATAAAATTGTAATATCACTATAGCTATAGGTTAAGTACCCATTGTAATTAAGAAGCAATAAATGTTATTTACATGCTTGTCCTCCTACACTCGCAAGGTTACGTTAGGTCGTGGTTTTCTATGCAGCTTTTCAGGTAAACTCTAATATTCACAATATTTTGGTGCGATGCTGGCGATTAAGTGTATTTATGTACTATGCCGATAGTCAGGATTGTACTTATTACATTTAATATTAAAACGTACTGTCTATTCGGTGGATGGACTGCCCAATAGGTACACTCTCTCAGTAGTTACACTGTGCGTGAGTGTTGCGTGAAGGCCATCCTAGTGTGAGGTAACACACCCACGCACCATAAGGTGTAGCTCCTAGTGTGAGGTAACACACACATCATAAGGTGTAGCTCCTAGTGTGAGGTAACACATACATCATAAGGTGTAGCTCCTAGTGTGAGGTAACACATACATCATAAGGTGTAGCTCCTAGTGTGAGGCAACACACCCACGCACCATAAGGTGTAGCTCCTAGTGTGAGGTAACACACACATCATAAGGTGTAGCTCCTAGTGTGACGTAACACACACACATCATAAGGTGTAGCTCCTAGTGTGAGGTAACACACACATCATAAGGTGTAGCTCCTAGTGTGACGTAACATACACACATCATAAGGTGTAGCTCCTAGTGTGAGGTAACACACACATCATAAGGTGTAGCTCCTAGTGTGAGGTAACACATACATCATAAGGTGTAGCTCCTAGTGTGAGGTAACATACACATCATAAGGTGTAGCTCCTAGTGTGAGGTAACACACACATCATAAGGTGTAGCTCCTAGTGTGAGGTAACACATACATCATAAGGTGTAGCTCCTAGTGTGAGGTAACATACACATCATAAGGTGTAGCTCCTAGTGTGAGGTAACATACACATCATAAGGTGTAGCTCCTAGTGTGACGTAACATACACATCATAAGGTGTAGCTCCTAGTGTGACGTAACATACACATCATAAGGTGTAGCTCCTAGTGTGACGTAACATACACATCATAAGGTGTAGCTCCTAGTGTGACGTAACACACACATCATAAGGTGTAGCAGTATTCATGGGAAGTTATTGTTACTGACACTGTGTGAGCCGCTTGTGCAGGGTTGGTCACAGTGTCTGACCAGAGTAAACTGTGGTTATTACACATTACAATCTCAGTAGCGTGAGATGTCTAGGAGAATGTCTTGGCAACACTGTGGTTGACTCGAACCAGCGTCCAGGGTCACCACAGACACGCCTTACCCATGAACCGCAATGTGCTTAAACGTAGGGGTTATTATGCCAGCACACAGCCCCAGTGGGAGGAGAGGAGGTAGGGAGGGAGGAGAGTGTTGTGAGTGTGTAGGTGAGTAGGGAGGGGTGGGGTGCTCCTTTAGAGAGAGGAGGTAGGGGAGGGAAGGGGTGGGTGAGAGTGTAGAGGGAGGGGAGGGAAGGGATGGGTGAGAGTGTAGAGGGAGGGGAGGGAAGGGGTGGGTGAGAGTGTAGAGGGAGGGGAGGGAAGGGGTGGGTGAGAGTGTAGAGGGAGGGGAGGGCGGGGTGGGTGAGAGTGAGAGTGTAGAGGGAGGGGAGGGAAGGGGTGGGTGAGAGTGTAGAGGGAGGGGAGGGAAGGGGTGGGTGAGAGTGTAGAGGGAGGGGAGGGAAGGGGTGGGTGAGAGTGTAGAGGGAGGGGAGGGAAGGGGTGGGTGGGAGTGTAGAGGGAGGGGAGGGAAGGGGTGGGTGAGAGTGTAGAGGGAGGGGAGGGAAGGGGTGGGTGAGAGTGTAGAGGGAGGGGAGGGAAGGGGTGGGTGAGAGTGTAGAGGTAGGGGAGGGCGGGGGGTGGGTGAGAGAGCAGGGGGGTGGGTGAGAGAGCAGGGGGGTGGGTGGGGAAGCCATGTGGTCGCTACAATAATACAGTTACCGGTAAGACTGCTGACTGTACCACAGTCATTACTGTGTGGTCCACCTCGGTGTATATAATATGGTCCTCCTCGTTACTATAAGCACCACCTAAACAAGCGGATGGGCTCCACTAACAGCTCTCACAGAGGATGTATACAGCGCTCGGAAGGGATCCTTGTCCAAGCTCTTGAAGGAGAGTCGGATGGCTGCCATCATGGGTCCAGTATGGCGTATGTTGGCCTCGTTATTCTGTTGTTTTTTTGAGTAGAGGAAGGAGAGGCATAGGTGAAGGGAAGTTTTAGAAGTGGGGAATACAGTGAGAGGTATAAAAGCAGGCGGGCTGTCCGCCTTGCTGACACGATGTGTTGGTGTTGGCAGCTAAGCTAAGCTGGCTCCCTCTTGTCAGGGAGCTGTGAGTGTGTGAGAGGTTCTTCACATGTGTTTCACCATATATGGATGTCTATAGATGAATACTGTGTAGCATTCATATATACACACTCCGATGCTTCCACACATGTTGTTCTGTTTAAGGCTCTTTATTTTATTATTATTATTTATTGAGTTATTCATACATACATATACATATTTAAATATATAAAAATGGAAATGTTCGTTTGTTCAAAATCGCTAATCTCTGAAAGTTCTTCACCGATTACTTTGAAATTTTCACAACGTTCCATTCGCATCTGGCCAGGTTTATATATACATGCTATATATATGTCACGTCTGTGACGGTAAAAAAAAATATGCTTTTTCTGAAAAACTGTTTTTCATGTGAGGAAAATCTTCGAAACCTCTTTAGCGATTGCTTTGAAATTTTGACACAACGTTGCATTCGAATAGGCGCGTCTTTTTATATATCTACTATATACATGCCTCACCTGTGGCAGGAAAAAAACATGTTTTTTTTTTTAAATAGGGCCATCTGTTGGACGTAGGAGCAACACACACTGTAATCTCCAAAAGTTTTTCACCGATTGCTTTGAAATTTTGACACAACGTTTGCATTCGAATAGGCGCGTGGTTTTATATACCTACTATATAGATTCCACCCCTGTGACAGGTAAAATCATGCGTGTTTGAAAAACAGCGCCATCTGTTGCACATAATAGCAACATGCACGCTATATTAAATATGTCACAAATGCCATTTCAATGTTTCCGATTGCATCGATATTTTTTTCATAGAATTCGATTTATTATTGAATTATTTTGCGTGACATTGTGTTGGAATTGAGCTGTGTTGTTCACCATACCGTTCATTTCGTGAGTATAAGTATAGATGCCACACCTGTGACAGGTAAAACTATGCTTTTCTTGAAAACAGCGCCATCTGTTACATGTAAGAGCAACACACATTCATACTAAATATGTTACAATTCCATTTCAATGTTTCTGATTGCATTGATAAATTGAATTTTCTTAGATTTTGATTTATTTTCATTTTGTTTTAGTTATTTTGTGTAAATTGCATTGGAATTGAGCTGTGTTGTTTACCATACCATTCATTTCATGTGTATAGTTTATTTCTGTATTTTTTCATATTTTCATTTCATTTTTTACCAGTTTTTCTTATTTTTCAGTGATATCTTGAGATGATTTCAGGGCTTAGTGTCTCTGCGGCCCGGTCCTCGGCCAGGCCTCCATCCCCAGAAAGCAGCCCGTGACAACTGACAAACTCCCAGGTACCTATTTACTGCTAGGTAATAGGGGCATCAGGGTGAAAGAAACTATGCCCACTGTCTCGCTGGTGCCCGGGATCGAACCTGGCACCACAGGATCACGCGTCCAGTGTTCTGTCCGCTCAGCCACCGGTAATAGGATGATCACTTGATGTTCCCATCAAGGCATCGGACGAAGGAGTGGGGAATGGTGGGGAGGACGAGGGGACGAAAATGAGAGATGGTGGGGAGGACGAGAGGACAGGGAAGGGGTTAATGGAGGGGAAGGACAAGGGGACGGGGGAGTTTGGGATGGTGGGAACGAGGGGATGGGGGAAAGGAGAATTGTTGAGAGGACAAAAGGACAGGGGAGTGGGGCATAGTGGGAAGGAAGAGGGGATGGTGGAGTGGGGAATGATGGGGAGGACTGGGGGACAGGGAAGGTTGCTGTGGCTCAGCAACCTTCCCTGTCCCCCAGTCCTCCCCATGTATGAGCCACAGCATACACGTGGTCGGGTACTGCTAGTATATATATATATATATATATATATATATATATATATATATATATATATATATATATATATATATATATATATATATATATATATATATGTGTGTGTGTGTACTCACCTATTCACCTATTTGTACTCACCTATTTGTGCTTGCAGGATCGAGCATTGACTCTTGGATCCCGTCTTTCCAGCTATCGGTTGTTTACAGCAATGACTCCTGTCCCATTTCCCTATCATACCTAATTTTAAAAGTATGAATAGTATTTGCTTCCACAACCTATTCCCCAAGTGCGTTCCATTTTTCCACTACTCTCACGCTAAAAGAAAACTTCCTAACATCTCTGTGACTCATCTGAGTTTCCAGTTTCCACCCATGTCCCCTCGTTCTGTTATTATTACGTGTGAACATTTCATCTATTTCCACTTTGTCAATTCCCCTGAGTATTTTATATTCCTATCATATCTCCTCTCTCCCTTCTTTTCTCTAGTGTCGTAAGGTTCAGTTCCTTCAGCCGCTCTTCATATCCCATCCCTCGTAACTCTGGGACAAGCCTCGTCGCAAACCTCTGAACCTTCTCCAGTTTCTTTATGTGTTTCTTCAGGTGGGGGCTCCATGATGGTGCGGCATACTCTAAGACGGGTCTCACGTAGGCAGTGTAAAGCGCCCTAAAAGCCTCCTCATTTAGGTTTCTGAATGAAGTTCTAATTTTCGCCAGTGTAGAGTACGCTGCTGTCGTTATCCTATTTATATGTGCCTCAGGAGTTAGATTAGGTGTCACATCCACTCCCAGGTCTCTTTCTCGAATCGTTACAGGTAGGCTGTTCCCCTTCATTGTGTACTGTCCCTTTGGTCTCCTGTCACCTAATCCCATTTCCATAACTTTACATTTACTGGTGTTAAACTCCAGTAGCCATTTCCCTGACCATCTCTGCAGCCTGTTTAAGTCCTCTTGGAGGATCCTACAATCCTCGTCTGTCACAACTCTTCTCATTAATTTTGCGTCATCCGCAAACATTGCCATGTATGATTCCACTCCTGTAAACATATCATTTACGTAAATTAGAAAGAGGATTGGTCCCAGCACCGATCCTTGAGGTACTCCACTTGTTACTGTTCGCCAGTCCGACTTCTCGCCCCTTACCATTACCCTCTGGCTCCTTCCTGTTAGGTAGTTCTTCACCCATACTGTGTGTGTGTGTGCATACAAAAGAATGGGGGTGGTAGGAGAAGATAATATTAGTGTTCAGTGAGAAACCACAAGGTCTCCTCTGAATACTTTTTATTTTCTTCTCCGAGGCTATGAGTCCCCACATTGGCACCAGAGGTGGTACCCTCACAATTATATATATATATATATATATATATATATATATATATATATATATATATATATATATATATATATATATATATATATATATATATATATATATATATGTGTGTGTGTGTATATTTCATTGAATATGACCGCATATTCTGTATTTATTATTTTCTGGCTTAGGGCTTCTATCCCTCTAACTATTTTCTTAGCATCAGGGCTTAGTTGAAATAGGAGTTCTCCAAAACTCATTTTCGTACTTTTAAGGTGAAGAAAAGAAGTGATTTACTATAGAGTGTATTACACTTATTTATACAATTTGCACAACGTTTCGAACCTCCATGGTTCATTCTCAAGTGAACAGATCTTACAATGCCGGTTGACTTTATACCCGCACTGGGTCAGGTGATAATACAATAAAGGTGAAAACATGGGGGATACATAAGGGATAAATGTGAGGTGAAACATAGAGGTAACTGCAGAAGGCTTTTTAGCCCATACGAGGCAGCTCCTATCTAAACACAAAGATTAATCCAGTGTAATTGGCCTGTTATGTTGGACATTGTCTTCTGTGTTGGCATCGTTATGTTCTGGTCTTGTCCTTACTCTCATGGTGGGAAGAGTAAATAGTTCCGTGATTTGGGTGTTCATGGTAGGTCGCTCTATTCTTATGTGAATTGCCTCAAGAATTTGTAATCTTCTTGCATCTTGGGTTTTGTCTATTATGCAGGTATTCTTGTTCAACATTTCTCTTGTTAGAGTGATGTCGTGGGTTTGTCTCATGTGATTCCTGGGGGCACCGGATTGAAGATGGCATGTCAAACGCCTCGTCAGCTTGGTCGACGTCATACCTATGTACTTAGATTGAAGGTTACATCCTTCGTGGGGGCAAGTGTACATGTATACAACGCTTGACTGCTGTAGAGGGTTCTCCGTCGGCTTCGGCCTGTTTTTGATAAGGAGTTCGGAAGTCTTCTTGGTTTTGTAGAATATTATCAGGTTTATGTTTTGGTTAGGAGTAATGCTTTTTACTCCTTTAAGGATTATTTCTTTCATTATTCTTTCCTCTTTTATATGTTCACTGTGCATGGTTGATTTGTAATATAATTTTATTGGAGGTGTTATGGTTTCTGTTCTAGGTTCTGGATTATACCAACGGTCCAAGTGTCTTCTTATAGCAGCGTTTATTTCCGAGTTGCTATATCCGTTGTTCACCAATACCTGAGTTACTCTTTCAAACTCTCTACTCACGTTGCTCCATTCAGAGCAGTGGGTAAGCGCTCGACGAATATAAGCATTGAGAACACTGGTTTTGTATCTTTGGAGGCACTCACTTCTACCGTTCAGGCATAATCCTATGTTGGTGGGCTTGGTATATACGTTGGTGCTTAAAGAGGTTCCTGTTTTTGTTATTAGTACATCCAAGAATGGCAGACTGTTATTTTCACTATTTTCATGTGTAAATCGGAGTACTGACTCTCTCTCTAGGTGTCTTTTTAGGTCAATTAGTTCATCTGAGTCTTTTACTATTACGAATATGTCATCTACATAACGGCAATATACAGTTGGTTTTTGTCTGCTAGGGAAACTATGAGGAGATGAGAAGCTTCCTAAGGGAAATACCTTGGGACACAGACCTCAGAGCTAAGTCTGTACAAGATATGATGGACTATGTCACCCAAAAGTGTCAGGAGGCAGTAAGCAGATACATCCCGGCCCAAAAAGAAAAATCCGAGAAGCAAAAGAAGAATCCATGGTATAATAGGGCATGTATGGAAGCAAAGAAACTGAACAAAAGGGCGTGGAGGAACTTCCGGAATAACAGAACACCAGAAAGCAGAGAGAGATACCAGAGAACCAGGAATGAGTATGTCAGGGTGAGAAGAGAAGCAGAGAAAGGTTATGAAAATGATATAGCAAACAAAGCCAAGACCAAACCAAAGCTACTCCAGTCACAGGTTCCAGGAGGTCTTCACAACAGAACAAGGTGAGGTCACTGTGCTAGAAGAAAGGGAAGTAAACCAGGCGGCTTTGGAAGGGTTCGAAATTACGAGAGGAGGTCAAGAGACACCTGCTGGATCTGAATGTTCGAAAGGCTGTTGGTCCAGACGGGATCGCGCCATGGGTACTGAAAGAGTGTGCAGAGGCACTTTGCTTGCCACTGTCCATAGTGTATAGTAGGTCACTGGAGACGGGAGACCTACCAGAAATATGGAAGATGGCGAATGTGGTCCCAATATACAAAAAGGGCGACAGGCAAGAGGCATTGAACTACAGGCCAGTGTCCTTGACTTGTATATCATGCAAGGTGATGGAGAAGATAGTGAGAAAAAACCTGGTATCACATCTGGAGAGAAAGGACTTCGTGACAAATCGCCAACATGGGTTCAGGGAGGGTAAATCTTGCCTGACTGGCTTAATAGAATTCTACGACCAGGTGACAAAGATTAAACAAGAAAGAGAGGGCTGGGCGGACTTCATTTTCTTGGATTGTCGGAAAGCCTTTGACACAGTACCGCATAAGAGGCTGGTACACAAGCTGGAGAGACAGGCAGGTGTAGCTGGTAAGGTGCTCCAATGGATAAGGGAGTACCTAAGCAATAGGAAGCAGAGAGTTACGGTGAGGGGTGAGACCTCAGATTGGCGTGAAGTCACCAGTGGAGTCCCACAGGGCTCTGTACTCGGTCCTATCTTGTTTCTGATATATGTAAATGATCTCCCGGAGGGTATAGATTCATTTCTCTCAATATTTGCGGACGATGCCAAAATTATGAGAAGGATTAAGACAGAAGAGGACTGTTTGAGGCTTCAAGAAGACCTGGACAAACTGAAGGAATGGTCGAACAAATGGTTGTTAGAGTTTAACCCAACCATATGTAATGTAATGAAGATAGGTGTAGGGAGCAGGAGACCAGATACAAGGTATCATCTGGGAGAAGAAATTCTTCAGGAGTCAGAGAAAGAAAAAGACTTGGGGGTTGATATCACGCCAGACCTGTCTCCTACAGCACATATCAAGCGGATAACATCAGCGGCATATGCCAGGCTGGCCAACATACGAACGGCAATCAGAAACTTGTGTAAAGTATCATTCAGAACTTTGTATACCACATATGTCAGGCCAATCCTGGAGTATGCAGCCCCAGCATGGAGTTCATATCTAGTCAAGGATAAGACTGAACTGGAAAAGGTTCAAAGGTTTGCCACCAGACTAGTACCCGAGCTGAGAGGTATGAGATACGAGGAGAGACTACGGGAATCACTTCGCTGGAAGAGAGAAGAGTTGGGGGGAACATGATCACCACATTCAAGATTCTGAAGGGAATTGATAGGGTAGATAAAGACAGGCTATTTAACACAAGGGGACACAGGTGGAAACTGAGTGCCCAAATGAGCCACAGAGATATCAGAAAGAAGTTTATTAGCGTCAGAGTGGTTGACAAATGGAATGCATTAGGAAGTGATGTGGTGGAGGGTGACTCCATACACAGTTTCAAGTGTAGATATGATAGAGCCCAATAGGCTCAGGAATCTGTACACCTGTTGATTGACGGTTGAGAGGCAGGACCAAAGAGCCAGAGCTCAACCCCCGCAAACACAACTAGGTGAGTACACACACACACACACACACACACACACACACACACACACACACACACACACACACACACACACACACACACACACACACACACACACACGTGCCACAACTCCAGCTGGGGTCTCATCTTTCACAATGGTAAACTTGCTGGAGAGTCTTGTGCCACAGACCTCACGCAGGTCCTTCACACCCGAGGTATTATGATGCATTTCCGTCTGATGTCAACTCAAGAGCAACGTTACTGCTGTATTTTGCTGGACTTAAGTCCAGTAGATCAACAAACATCGTGTGAAAAGAAACTTGGCCAAATTTTCCTGTTTTGGCGTGAATGTAACCCTGGAACTTGTGTTTGAGATCCGACTGCACTAGACACCGCTGCAGACCAGGCAACGGGCCTCGAGCGTGGTAGTAAACACAAAATTATAGTCATATTTGCGTCAGAGATGTAGGAAGGCAAATTAACTTCTTTTTGAAATGGCATTTGTGTTGGGTGATGAGAGCCACAACTCAGTTGAATGTCTGGACGTGTCTGTGTACACTGCTGATGGATCTAATTACTCTCAGTCATTGCTACTCATCACGCCTTCAATTACCACCTATGTGAAGCAGGAGGTAATTATTTATTCGTAAGCATAATTATTTATCTGTGAAAGCAGGAAACTTCTGCGTTCTCATATGAGTCACAGGTCAATATGGCTCTAAAACCAAGATATGTTCTATTATCACGGCAGTTAATGCTATCATTTGCTTTCTTAAGAACAATCTCGCCATCATAATATGATTGTAAAGACAATTGAGAGCCAGAAAACTCTTCTTACTTGAGGCAAGAGACTGGTGACGGCGGCACTCACTAAAGTAAGCCTCCAGGTAAGGCACTTACAGGGAGAAAACGAAACCAATCTGACTCTATAGCACTTAGAAAGGAAATACAAGGAGCTGGGATACAAGAACAGGGTGAAGGAACTTTATCTAATCACATGAACTATAGGGAATCGAACTCCGATCATGCAAGATGCGAGGCCGTCGGTCTACCTCTCCAAGTCCAAGTGGTTGGATTCTGACGTAACAATTATTAAAACAAAATAGTTTATTGACTTTACTTTCCACGAAGATCCAGCACGAAGGCATACTGGGGCGCTGGTGGAGAGTCAGGGGCGCTGGTGGAGAGTCAGGGGCGCTGGTGGAGAGTCAGGGGCGCTGGTGGAGAGTCAGGGGCGCTGGTGGAGAGTCAGGGACGCTGGTGGAGAGTCAGGGGCGCTGGTGGAGAGTCAGGGGCGCTGGTGGAGAGTCAGGGGCGCTGGTGGAGAGTCAGGGGCGCTGGTGGAGAGTCAGGGACGCTGGTGGAGAGTCAGGGACGCTGGTGGAGAGTCAGGGGCGCTGGTGGAGAGTCAGGGGCGCTGGTGGAGAGTCAGGGGCGCTGGTGGAGAGTCAGGGGCGCTGGTGGAGAGTCAGGGGCGCTGGTGGAGAGTCAGGGGCGCTGGTGGAGAGTCAGGGGCGCTGGTGGAGAGTCAGGGACGCTGGTGGAGAGTCAGGGACGCTGGTGGAGAGTCAGGGGCGCTGGTGGAGAGTCAGGGGCGCTGGTGGAGAGTCAGGGACGCTGGTGGAGAGTCAGGGACGCTGGTGGAGAGTCAGGGGCGCTGGTGGAGAGTCAGGGGCGCTGGTGGAGAGTCAGGGGCGCTGGTGGAGAGTCAGGGGCGCTGGTGGAGAGTCAGGGGCGCTGGTGGAGAGTCAGGGCCGCTGGTGGAGAGTCAGGGGCGCTGGTGGAGAGTCAGGGGCGCTGGTGGAGAGTCAGGGACGCTGGTGGAGAGTCAGGGGCGCTGGTGGAGAGTCAGAGACGCTGGTGGAGAGTCAGGGACGCTGGTGGAGAGTCAGGGGCGCTGGTGGAGAGTCAGGGGCGCTGGTGGAGAGTCAGGGACGCTGGTGGAGAGTCAGGGGCGCTGGTGGAGAGTCAGGGACGCTGGTGGAGAGTCAGGGGCGCTGGTGGAGAGTCAGGGACGCTGGTGGAGAGTCAGGGGCGCTGGTGGAGAGTCAGGGGCGCTGGTGGAGAGTCAGGGACGCTGGTGGAGAGTCAGGGGCGCTGGTGGAGAGTCAGGGACGCTGGTGGAGAGTCAGGGACGCTGGAGGAGAGTCAGGGACGCTGGAGGAGAGTCAGGGACGCTGGAGGAGAGTCAGGGACGCTGGAGGAGAGTCAGGGACGCTGGTGGAGAGTCAGGGACGCTGGTGGAGAGTCAGGGACGCTGGTGGAGAGTCAGGGACGCTGGAGGAGAGTCAGGGACGCTGGAGGAGAGTCAGGGACGCTGGTGGAGAGTCAGGGACGCTGGTGGAGAGTCAGGGACGCTGGAGGAGAGTCAGGGACGCTGGTGGAGAGTCAGGGACGCTGGTGGAGAGTCAGGGACGCTGGTGGAGAGTCAGGGACGCTGGTGGAGAGTCAGGGACGCTGGTGGAGAGTCAGGGACGCTGGTGGAGAGTCAGGGACGCTGGTGGAGAGTCAGGGACGCTGGTGGAGAATAAGGGACGCTGGTGGATAGTCAGGGACGCTGGTGGAGAGCCAGGGTCGCTGGTGGAGAGTCAGGGACGCTGGTGGAGAGTCAGAGACGCTGGTGGAGAGTCAGGGACGCTGGTGGAGAGTCAGGGACGCTGGAGGAGAGTCAGGGACGCTGGTGGAGATTGGATAAGATCGCCCTCTTATTGGACTACAGTATTCAGTTAGGTGGAAATTTCTGTCTGGTACAAAACAAAGGTTGTTGAGCACAAGCACGTACTTCTTAGTTTACATTTCCTTCACAGAGTGTTGACATTCCCTGCAACAACCAATCACAGGAAGGTATTCCTTCACAGAGTGTTGACATTCCCTGCAACACCCAATCACAGGAAGGTATTCCTTCATAGAGTGTTGACATTCCCTGCAACAACCAATCACAGGAAGGTATTTCTTAAAAGCCTTATGACGTCATCAGGACCGTTCAGTACACCAATAAAAATAATAATTATTTGCTAGAAGATATAATTGGTTGATGAGATTACATATAAGACTGGCATTTTTAAATGAATAATAAATGAACTAAACTAACTTTCCAAGGTTCCGTGGATCTACGTCCCCAGGGCCCGGTCTCTGATCAGGCCTCCAGTCATGGTTTGATCAACCAGGCAGTTGGACGCGGCTGTGATTTACATATATTACATTACAAACACATAAATAATAACTCATTGACTATCTTAAAATTAGTAGCCCAAATTAGCCCAATTGATTTTTAAATTAGTCCAAAAAGTCGCAAGTAGCAAGATTAATTGTTTTTTTCGCATAGCGTTAAAAAGTAGCCTAATTGGCTACTTAAAGCCCAACCTGGCAACACTGTTCATCCCCGTGACACCTTTTGGGTGGATTAATCTTTATCAATCAATCATCAACACCGAGTAAAGAAAAAGGGAAGGTGCGCCAGTGGATAAGGGAGTACTTAAGCAAGAGGAAACAGCGAGTAACGGTGAGGGGGGAGACATCAGAGTGGCGAGATGTCACCAGCGGAGTCCCACAGGGCTCAGTACTTGGACCCATCCTGTTTCTAATATATGTAAATGATCTTCCGGAGGGTATAGACTCGTTCCTCTCAATGTTTGCTGATGATGCAAAAAGTATGAGAAGAATCAAGACGGATGAAGATAGACAAAGACTACTGGATGACCTGGAGGAATGGTCTAGAAAATGGCTGCTAAAGTTCAACTTAGGAAAGTGTAAGGTAATGAAATTAGATGAAGAGAGCAGGAGGCTGAACACAAGGTACCATCTGGGAGGTGAAATCCTACAAGAGTCAAATAGAGAGAAAGATCTGGGGGTTGATATCACACCGAACCTGTCCCCAGAGGCCCCACATCAATAGGATATCATCAGCGGCATATGCTAGACTGGCCAATATAAGAACTGCCTTTAGAAACTTGTGTAAGGAATCGTTCAGGACCCTGTATACCACTTATGTAAGACCAATCTTGGAATATGCAGCTCCAGCCTGGAGTTCATACCTAGTTAAACACAAGACAAAGTTAGAGAAGATCCAGAGGTATGCCACCAGGCTCGTCCCGGAACTGAGAGGAATGAGTTACGAAGAAAGGCTAAGGGAGCTGAACCTCACAACCCTGGAAAACAGAAGAGTAAGGGGAGACATGATAACCACCTACAAAATTCTCAGGGAAATTGACAGGGTGGACAAAGACAAACTCTTCAGCACGGGTGGGATACGAACAAGGGGACACAGGTGGAAACTTAGTACCCAGCTGAGCCACAGAGACTTAGAAATATTTTTTTCAAAGTCAGATTAGTTAATAAATTGAATGCATTAGACAGTGATGTGGTGGAGGCTGACTCCATACACAGTTTATAATGTAGATATGATAGAGCCCAATAGGCTCAGGTACCTGTACAACAGTTGAGAGGCGGGACCAAAGAGCCAGAGCTCAACCCCCGTAAGTACAACTAGCTCAGTACCGTTCTGTTTGTGTTAACGCGTTTTTTTTTTTTTTGAGAGAGAGACATATACAAGAGTTGTTACATTCTTGTACAGCCACTAGTACGTGTAGCGTTTACAAAAAATACAAAATACAAATATTTATTCAGGTAAAGTACATACATACAGGGTAAGATACAAAAGTTGATGGATTTATAGATAGAGCTAGTACATACAATGCCTAAAGCCACTATTACGCAAAGCGTTTCGGGCAGGAAAAACACTAAGACTAAAACTTAATACTAATTGAGATTAAAGTATAAATTGTGTTGAGAAAAAATCAGAAAAAAATAAAAAAAAGGGGAGGGGGAACATGGCAGAAAAATAAAAAATACAATTTGGTCAACAAAACAGCATTGTATAAAATAGAAGACATGGGTTGACACTTAGGGGTGAGGTAGGTTACATTGAGTTAATTAGGTAGCACTTAGTTTTTATCTTAAACTGGTTGGGAGAGGTACAGTCTTTAACATAATTGGGAAGGTCATTCCACATTCGAGGTCCCTTGATTTGTAAAGCATTTCTAGTTTGACTAAGTCGTACCCTTGGAATATCGTATAGGTATTTGTTTCTGGTGTGGTGCTCATGGGATGTGTTACAACCTTCTAGGAAGCTTTTAAGGTCAGGATTGACATATATTCGGGCAGGTCCCTGGAATACGACCCCAATTCAATTTCTTTATTATGTACCCCATACCCATCCCCTGGGCGGTGGTGTAAAGGATTACAGAGGCACATAATCGGTTCAGGAACTGAACCCTCTAGTTCGTTTAGCTAAGCAAATAACAATGTTTGACGCTAATTACAAAATTAGTTACATATGCACATGTACACACTCTCATACATATATATATATATATATATATATAGCATATTTTGGTAGCAGTCTTTCCTGTAGACATATATTATTAAATATGACCGAAAAAGTAAGATTAATAATTCTAACACGAATTTTCTCAATCTTTCGTACATTTCGTTTCACTGTTGGAGGTAAATCAAAAATCAATTCTCCAAAATTCATTTTTATTTCTAGTCTGACGCGACACGAGCGCGTTTCGTAAAACTTATTACATTTTCAAAGACTTTAGTTCACAAATACACAACTGAATAGAACTTACGCATCTCCGATTTTATATCTACATTTGAGTGAGGTGGAAGGGGTGATGTGGCATTAACACAAGACAGAACAAGATGTGGTATTAATAGGGTATTAATTTCATCAACACAAGACAGAACAAGAGTATTAATAGGGTATTAATTTCATCAACACAAGACAGAACACGAAACAATGGATATTGAATAGAAGTGTTTGTAGAAAGCCTATTGGTCCATATTTCTTGATGCTTCTATATTGGAGCGGAGTCTTGAGGTGGGTAGAATATAGTTGTGCAATAATTGGCTGTTGATTGCTGGTGTTGACTTCTTGATGTGTAGTGCCTCGCAAACGTCAAGCCGCCTGCTATCGCTGTATCTATCGATGATTTCTGTGTTGTTTACTAGGATTTCTCTGGTGATGGTTTGGTTGTGGGAAGAGATTATATGTTCCTTAATGGAGCCCTGTTGCTTATGCATCGTTAAACGCATAGAAAGAGATGTTGTTGTCTTGCCCATATACTGGTTTTTTTGGAGCTTACAGTCCCCAAGAGGGCATTTGAAGGCATAGACGACGTTAGTCTCTTTTAAAGCGTTCTGTTTTGTGTCTGGAGAGTTTCTCATGAGTAGGCTGGCCGTTTTTCTGGTTTTATAGTAAATCGTCAGTTGTATCCTCTGATTTTTGTCTGTAGGGATAACGTTTCTATTAACAATATCTTTCAGGACCCTTTCCTCCGTTTTATGAGCTGTGGAAAAGAAGTTCCTGTAAAATAGTCTAATAGGGGGTATAGGTGTTGTGTTAGTTGTCTCTTCAGAGGTTGCATGGCTTTTCACTTTCCTTCTTATGATGTCTTCGACGAAACCATTGGAGAAGCCGTTATTGACTAGGACCTGCCTTACCCTACAGAGTTCTTCGTCGACTTGCTTCCATTCTGAGCTGTGGCTGAGAGCACGGTCGACATATGCATTAACAACACTCCTCTTGTACCTGTCTGGGCAGTCGCTGTTGGCATTTAGGCACATTCCTATGTTTGTTTCCTTAGTGTAGACTGCAGTGTGGAAACCTCCGCCCTTTTCCATGACTGTTACATCTAGAAAGGGCAGCTTCCCATCCTTTTCCATCTCGTAAGTGAAACGCAGCACGGAACTCTGCTCAAATGCCAACTTCAGCTCCTGCAGATGTCTGACATCAGGTACCTGTGTAAAAATGTCGTCAACATACCTGCAGTATATGGCCGGTTTCAAGTTCATGTCGACTAAGACTTTTTGCTCGATGGTACCCATGTAGAAGTTTGCAAACAGGACACCTAGGGGAGAACCCATGGCGACCCCATCTACTTGCTTATACATGTGCCCATCCGGGCTCAAGAAGGGTGCCTCTTTAGTACAAGCTTGGAGTAGTTTCCTCAGAATATTTTCTGGTATGTCAAGAGGAGTACAGGCTGGATCACGATACACTCTGTCGGCTATCATTCCAATTGTCTCGTCCACAGGTACGTTGGTAAACAGCGATTCTACGTCCAACGAGGCTCTTATCCCTGTGGCCCATGTGCCCCGCAGCAAGTCAACAAATTCCTTTGGAGACTTCAGGCTGAAGGCGCAAGGAACATAAGGAGTCAGCAGGCCGTTGAGTCGCTTCGCCAGTCTGTTGGCGATTTAACCTACCCCTCGCTGCCCATTGGATTGGGGGGGGGGGGGCGGTGTAACCTATCCACCGCTGTCCACGGGATGGGGGGGTGGCGGTGTAACCTATCCACCGCTGCCCATTGGATGGGGGTGGGCGGTGTAACCTATCCACCGCTGCCCACGGGATGGGGGGGGCGGTGTAACCTATCCACCGCTGCCCACTGGATGGGGGGGGGGGGTGTAACCTATCCACCGCTGCTCACTGGATGGGGGGGGGGCGGTGTAACCTATCCACCGCTGCCCACGGGATGGGGGGGGGGGGTGTAACCTATCCACCGCTGCCCACTGGACGGGGAGGGGGGTGTAACCTATCCACCGCTGCTCACTGGATGGGGGGAGTGGTGTTATCTATCCACCGCTGCCCACGGGATGGGGGGGAGGGGTGTAACCTATCCACCGCTGCTCACTGGATGGGGGGGGGGCGGTGTAACCTATCC